AGACATGTTTTATTGTCGATGGTAGAGACAGCACGAACAACACGAACAACAGAATGCAAGTGTATTATACAGAGCGGAGGCATGGAGACCTCCAATCAGCAGCTTCCACGGTGTGCTTGTAGCTTGGCCTTCAGATAGACAAAACAAGGGAAAAGTACAGGCTTCTGCACATTGATAGAATGATGACTTTAACAAAAGTTGCTTAAAAGTGTTATGAAATCTCACACTCCTCACTAACCCTCCTTCATGTCACGGTAGTTATGGTCCGGGGCTAACAGCACAGCTTGTCCTCCATAGCTGATGTGTTGTCTTCCTGTCTTCGGTCCTGTCGTCACTGTTGCAGAAAGCTCCTGATTGGTCGACGCTCACCTCTTCTCCCAAAAAGTTCAACAATGTTCAACTCTAGCATCGGCTGCGTTGGAGGCATGGGACTCCAACGATTTCAAATGCTTCAAATCTCAAAACGCGCCGTGCCAGAAGCGCAAAACGCTTGAAGACACGCCGCTTGGGAGGCGCGTGACACGCCGCGGGATCTCTCGACGCACCTAGAAGCGCGTTCCCAATGTATTTTCAATGTAAACCCGGCGCTTTGGATGCCCAAAACGCGTTTGGTCTGAACGCAGCATTAGACATGCTCTGTCTTAATAAGGATTGTATTAATATGATCTTTGAACAGTCTTCATGAACATGTGATACAGATAAATACATCAGGTGAGAACAGTTCTGTATTGCTGTACAGTAAAAAGAGTTGAAATACTGTTACTAACCAACACTAACTGAGCGACACGGTGGCTGAGTGCATAGCACTCTTGCTTCGAGTTGCATGTTCTCCCTGTGTCTGTGTAGGTTTCCTTTGGGTGCTCCGGTTTCTCCTACCACAAAAAACATGGTGGAGGCCATAGGTATGAATGTAATGAGTGAGTGAATGGGGGCTTTGATGCACCAGTGTGTTCAGCCAGTGAGCTTTGGGTGACCTTTGGGTCTGTAAAGTGCACTATATAAATAAAGATTAATTACTTCTACTTCCCATGAATGCATTGTGGTGGTTATTGCTTTGATTTGTGTGTATCCTGTCTTGTTTTTGAATGTTATTGCATTTCACACTAAAGTATTTATTAAATCTCTAAATCCTCCCATTATTTAAGTTTGCCTACACATATTATCCAATCACATGCCCTGTTCCACATGGAACATGCAATCCAGAGAAAACTTTAATTGGCTGCAGTGTATATCCACTTTGTGCCATTGATTTTCTTTGTGTGGGTAATTAAACCGCAGCTAAAAACGCCATGGTGATTGTTTACAATTCCTTGTTGTAGAAGATGAAAAACCTTGGACTATAATAGTCTGCGTGGGGCACTGACTGTGGGGGCTGTTGTGGAGCAGCCTAATGTAACGGGCCCAATCTGTGTTTCTGCAGTGTTCTGTGAAATTGTTTCTTAAAGCCATCAGTTTGCCGGCCGTCCTATCCGCTGTCACAAAAATATGTATCCAAACATATCATTTAACAAAATAAAGGCAGCGGGTGAATTTTTCTGAGACAGAGCAGGTCGTTTTCACCTGCGTAAGATGAAGAGCACAGCATATCAGGGCAAAGCAGTTCAGAGCTTGCAGGAAAACACTCCATTTGTCTTTTGGACGAGCAGCAGTGCAATATATTCTCCAAATATAAAGCTGAGACGCATATATACTAGATGCACTTGGAGCTTTAGTGATGGTGTGACTTGTCTCTTATCACCTGTTTTTCAGAGTTTCCCAACCAGAGGTATGCAGACCCTTAGAGTGAGGACATTACAGAGGTTAATATGAGCTTTCATAGCATGTTATAATTTGAAAAATGATAACAGACAAAGGCTTGGCTTATGTCACTTTGCATCATGTATTAGGTCTATATCATGTATTGGTTAAAGAGATTGAGGGAAATGTGACTGAAAGTTCCACCTCTTGTTTGTCACAGGGCCACTTTTTTTCTACTTCGATCCTCTTTCACATCTTCTCGACCAACACGGGCATTGTTCATATTGGCAGCTCTTCTATTTTTGCCAATATCACAAAGAACCGGTGTTTGCTGTTAAACGGCTACATATACAGACAATGATTGACAGGGAAATAACCAATTATTTTCATACGCATTAAATTTTTAAAGGGGCAGTATGTAAAAATCTGGCCAAAGGTGGTACTGCACTCTCCCTGACTCCCTGCTGCCAGATATGAAGATGAAACCAGCTGGGGCCATAATCTGAATATCTGAATAAAGCGTTTTGTCAACAACAAATCTATAATCAACACCTTTTTCACAAAGATAGAAATCCTGGTTTTATTCCTTGTTTTTTCATTAATGATTTGAGGATCGTAACAAAACCTTTTTTAGTTCTGCCGCCAAATGTTACTTTACCAGTGAGATTAACCCACTGGTAAATAACCATATATAATTGTATTAATATATTTTTATTACACCCAAACTCCAATAAATTAATAAGTAAGTAAGTAATCTTTATTTATATTTACCGGCTTTCACAGACCAGAGTCACAAAGCGATTTACAATTGTTATTTTTGGGCACTTCACACATAAAAATATGTACAGTGCCAGACCTATTGTACATATTTTTAGTGGTAGGGAAAACCGGAGTACCCGGAGGAAACCTACGCAGACACGGTGAGAACATGCAAACTCCACCCAGAAAGGCCCTGGTCCGACCGGGATTCGAACCCAGAACCCAGGAGTGCTATCCACTCAGCCGCTGTGCCGCCCACATAAGTGGTCTGAAAAACCAGGGCTTTCTTACTTTTGGTTCAGTCCATATACTGTAGAAGAAGGAGTGGACAGTTTTTAACAGATATTCTGTTTCCCCAGGTGACCGCATAAAAAAGATCTTTTTAATGTTGTCAACATTAGAGGACACCAGAAGACTCGAACCGTCTGAAATGTTCTGAACACCTTATAAAAATGATCAATGGTGAAAAAATACTACTGCAATGACTTCCTTGCAAAACACTATATTTCTTGGACAACTAATATTCCACCAGTTTGTTTCATCACTCAGACTGTTGGCGGGCTGTTGGCGGGCTGTTATCTCTGCGAGCTCAGCCTTCATGGTCACACCAGCGCCTTTCCACACATCACTGCTCAAATAAGTTGTAAAATCGGGTATATATTTTTAACCTCTCCGCAGAGCTCATGCATATTCCCCTTATGCGTTTGCTGCGGAGGGTATTAGCTGCTGCAACAGTGCACGCATGGATAAACACTGGGCCGTATGGCTGAGCAGGTCCGAGGCCAAACAGGCGCGCAACTAAACGCAACTGACAGGCGACATCTCCTGCGCCGCCATTACATTAGAGCCGCGTGCTTTGGCTCCATCTTAATCTGCACTGTTTTGACAGGCGCCATTTCTCAGCCGCGTCCTGCTGTGGCGAGACCACGATTTAAAAAAAAGATCACGCTATTTTTCATTTCAGGAAACGACCAGAACTGCTGATTTACATAGTAAAATGCTCATGTGGATTTGTGTGGAAGGCAACTCAATTCTTTCAGAACAGAGACAGACAGACAGTTAATATGAGCCAGGTTTAAAGCCCCTCGTAGTGTTGATTATAGAAGCTGCAAGCATGCAGGGTGAAAGATTTCCTGAAGCGTTCTGTTCTGCAGTGTACAGAGAGTTTCTGCAGTCTCTCTGAGATAGTCCACTGGACCAGCTAGTTTCCCCAGGCAACCACTGCATAAAAAATACAGACGGACAACATATTTGTAAACCGTTGTTAACATTTCTGTGCGTGGATAGGGAAGTTTGTGTGTCTCTTCTAAGACTGCTGCTCCCTGCAACCTGGCAACCAATAAAGAATATGGATGGATTTGATTGCAGAAAACTGGCTATTCATGGAAAGGCTCTCTGTGTTGAGAGTGACACTGAAGGAGTGGTCTTATGCTTGTTGAAATATCTGTAATTATTTTTGCTTTACCAGTTTTCAAAGCATGGGAATTAATGGAGACCTTCCTTGTCTATTCGGAGTGGACTCAAGGAGTACTGACGTCGCCATTGTGCTTGCCAAATATTGGCAACCTGGAAGCAATTTCCTTGTATGTGCATTTGTTATGATAGGGTGACCATCACGCCCATAGTAGGGGCAGATCAAGCCCCGGTGATCCAAGATGGCACCCTATTCAAATCATTGGCTTGTGCTCAGTTGCGCATGTGGCACCGAAAGATTAGCGGAACTCACCCATATTTGGGCATTGTCTGGTCCTCCCGGTTCTGCGCAGTGGACAAGCTCCCATGATGCGTCATGTCAAATACGTGCATGAAGCTCAGCCATGCTTTGACCAATCAGAGCGGAGCTAGAGCGGAGAGCAGAGTTAGAGCGGGAGACAATCGAGCAGTTTGTGCACATGGATCCTTCAGCTCCAAGCTATTAATACCCTATATTATAATAGATCCATGGGGCAGATGAAAACCAATGTGTTGCTAACATGGTTGCAAGCTGGAGTTGCCCAGTGAATTAAGGCATTTGATTGGTCAATGCACAAGGCTCATATCTGGATTTACTAGACAATATTAACTAAACTGTGTATTTAACTGGATGACAGCTTTCATTGCCACCAGGACACTCACAAACGACTTAGCTAGAGTTTACTTTTCAATGTAAGGCAATAGGAGCCAGAGCGAGAAGGGGCAAAACTTCACCCATGAGCACCTCCCTATTACGTTGCCTTGAATTAGTGGGTTAGCCTTGACCATCTGGAGTCTATGCTCGAAATGTCCTTTTGTAGGCCTTCCACAGCTGACCCTTCGATGGCAGATGTTTGTCATTGTACTTTCTCACTGAAAACTGTGGTTTGTTCTCACACAAGGGACTTTTCTTCATTGTGGACATTTTTTGTCAGGGTCAGTGCGCGTGAATGTCATTATGCAGAATATGTGAAAGAGGCCGCGGGACAGAGGGGACAGTGGCTCACTTTTGTATAACAGTTATAAATAAAACGATTGGACTTGTGATACGAATGAACTGGAGGCTGCTCACTCAGCGTGCGACTGTGAGCTGCCTCTTCTCTCCTGTCACAAGTGTTATCACCTGTGGCATTCTGGGAAATAAATATCTCCAGGACCAGCTGACCTTTTGGACATAGGGATTTTTGTGCGTTCTCTCTCAGATAATATTCGAAGAAGCTAAAATTAGATACAGCAGGACTTGCTTTGTTATAAGAGACAGATGCATTACACAAACATTGTTTTTTTAGCTCCATACTGATTTGCTTTACACTTTTGCCTTTTTATACCAATTCATAATTTGCATTGTACATACACATCAGAAGCATGATGTAGCTTGTTTGTGGACCAATAACAGTATAAACATGAAAGTTCTAAGTATTTCTAACAATGGATTACTAGTTAAATGACAAGGGGAAATAACTATAGCATGCTCAGACATGTGAAATATTGAATTTTCATGCCATGACCCATTTTTAAGATTATTGTATTTTATTTTACATTTTGAATGCGTTTTGGGCTGGTGGCACAGTCTGAATCATTTGATTCCACGTGAACCTGCGGAAAATGAACACAGTCCATTTCTCATTTCTGAAGCGCGCGTGTCTGCAAGCGTATGTTGGAATAGTCTCGGCTCTTCACAATCAAAAGAAGATGAAATATATGTATGGTTTTAATGGCCCGTGGCTTTGTTCTCTCACTGTCTGCTTGGGCTGCTTGACTTTCAAAGGACTCCACACCTGGGATCAGATAGGAGCGAGTGCAGAGCAAAGGCGGAGGAGGAGAGATTACAGATGGAAGCCTCTTGTCCCACTGCACTGGAGGCAGATGGTGCACAGCTCATCTCAAGGACTCCATCTTCAGCCGTAGTCAAACTGGAGAGCGGAGTTTCTATTCTAATAGCATTTGTGACGTGCACAGAAACCACTCCAAACTCAACTGCAGAATAAATAGTGAAGAATAGAATAATTAACCATAACTGCTACCATTCTAGGTTATAAATTGTTGTTCTTAAAAAAAGATTGTTTTAGATAAAAGTTTTTAACTAGATACAATATCCAAAAAGTGTGAAAAAAATTATATTTCAAAATGATAATATTTTGTAATTAGATAAGGGCCAAAAGGTCCAAATATATTGTATGAAATTTAAAGTCCCTCGTAGATAAGAGTTGCTGTCTTCAACTTATTGGAAAACAGGCTAACCTTTCCATTCTTCACTTTTATATCAGAGGAAGCAACAGGAGGTTTGAAAGTTTGGTGTCCCCGTTTTGATAAATGTCTAAATTAGGGTAGAGACTCCCGTGTCTCTACCTCCCTGGCTCGGCTTTGAGGAGCCAGGAAAGCCGGGCTTCATTCCCCCGGGAATGAGCGCTCAGGCCCGGGTCTGAGCGGGAGCAAAGCCCTCCCCGGTGATAGCCCAGAACCGGAGGAGTGCGTGGGTGAAAACTCCGTGTCTCTAGCACCCCTGGTTCGTTTTTGACAAGCCCTGGAAGCCGAGCTTCTCCTCCCCCAAAATGAGCGCTCTTGGGCGGATGGCAGACGCGCGGTCCCCCGGTTGTTTCCAAGGGCCATAACTTTCTGGTCCTTTATCCCCCGTGCGTCAAATTCACACCGCGGGTACCCCGGGACCAGGGGAGTCCCTGGGTCCCACCCCAGCGTCTGTAGCCCCCCCTCCGCGAGGTCTCTTCTCTTTTCCGGTGTCGCAAATAATAATAAAACGAAATAATAGTAATGCCATAATTCTTTTGAGAATTTTAAACAACTAGAGCCAAAACAAACACATTGATATTGAAGCATAAAGGATTTATTTTTTTATTCAAGTTTAGAAAAGGAAAAGAACAATAAACGAATGGAAATTTGGATTTTCTGATTTTATTTTGAAACGGAATAACTAATGATTGAAGGGTACACGAATTATGATGATATACAACCCATGGGGAATAGGAGAAGAAATTGCACACATTGTATTAGGAGCTCTCCTTTTCAAAATGTTAATAAAACGTACAATACTGTTGCAGTCCTTTATGTCCTTCTGTAAATCATTTGATGAGGGGCCACTGAAACGTTTGTTTTTAAAGAGGATTCTGCACATATTCTGCAAATTCAGTGTTTTTAACGAAGCTGCAACATTGTTCTTCATCAGTCACAGACCAGGAGCTGTTTTTAGGTCCAACCAGGCTAATGTCTGTCTAAAACAGCTCGTGTCTCAGTCGTTTAATAGTATGATGTCATTGTACCACTTTAACATCACAAAACTAAAGTATTGCTCATCAATTATGTCCTATAAATGATATGGCTCGTAATTTTATAATTTTAAAAAATACTACAGACGTATCTACAGCTGTATACATACATATATACTTGCACTACAGAATACAGCATTTTATACTTTGCTTCTTCTTTGTTAAGCTAAAGATAGAGTTTTTTATTTTAGAGTTGTGCTATACTTATCTTGTGTTGTGTTGCTTCTCATTCCTACTGTTCTGTAACTTGTGACACAACTCTGACATTTCTCCACTGTGGGACAAATAAAGGGTCTCTTAATCTCAATATATCTATTTGCTTCCCTTTAATCTGTATTTATGGAGAGCGTCTCTATCGTGGATAAAGTTTTGTAAAGTAGGTGGCAGAGAGTTCTTCTAATAAAACCCCACATAACCTTTTATTTTACACAATTTGTTCATCCAAAATTATTTTTTCCTTTCTCTCACATCAACACATGCACAAAAAGGAAATGTGAACTCGCCCTTCACGGGAACAATGATGATACTTAAGTGATAATCATTGACTCGACAACAATATTTACTGGAGGATTTCTCTCAGACATTTGCCTTTATAAATAGAGCCTTAACAGCGGCTTGTTTACTTGCGGCCCAGGTCATAATGACACTTGTGAATGACTTTGCAGAAGCTTCATTACTCCGACCATACATCTCCTTTTAATTATCTTTGTATCAGCGGTAAGTTACAGCAGTGCACCACCGTCCTGTCACAGCGCACGCATCTTTCACGAGGGGAAACGAGGTCATTTCTATTGTTATGAACTTTTTTCCGGTAATGTGAGAAAAATAATAGTGGCCATTGTGTTTTTGGAAGCTGTTATAAAACCCTTTGATTTGCCCTTTTGAGTCCAAAATGAGTTAAGTCATTTAGAGGGAGTGTCAGGAGAGAGCAGTGTACCAAGGAGAGCAGAGGACCAGTGGAGAGCAGAGGACCAGTGGAGAGCAGAGGACCAGTGGAGAGCAGAGGACCAGTGGAGAGCAGAGGATCAGCGGAGAGCACAAGACCAGTGGAGAGCAGAAGACCAGGAGAGAGCAGAGGACCTGTGGAGAGCAGAGGACCAGTGGAGAGCAGAGGACCAGTGGAGAGCAGAGTACCAGTGGAGAGCAGAGGACCAGTGGAGAGCAGAGGACCAGTGGAGAGCAGAGTACCAGTGGAGAGCAGAGGACCAGTGGAGAGCAGAGGACCAGTGGAGAGCAGAGGACCAGTGGAGAGCAGAGGACCAGTGGAGAGCAGAAGACCAGGAGAGAGCAGAGGACCTGGGAGAGCAGGGGACCAGCGGTAGCAAGAGATCAGGGGAGAACAGGCTGACCAGGCATGACGGAAGCCAAGTAACTGAGTGGAAAAGTTAAAAAGTATCTATTGGTCTAAGTGTCTCAGTGAAAGTGCACAAGTCAATATAGAATGTCTAATCTCCATCTCAGCTTTAAAAGCAATGCTTGATAAAACAAAACAATACGTCTTAAATGTAAACGTTCTTTTTAAAAGAACTGCATGAAGAACTATGTAAAAATTTGTCATAAAAAATGACAACACAACTCTGGCTCAATCTTCAGTCTGGAGGCTGTGCCTGTGAAATGATTTGTGCTATTGCGTTACTTTCCTCGTAACGTTGGTTCATTTTATTATCTTTTTACTCAAAATTGCAGAATTTTCTCAACCTTTTCTCATATTTGATTGAGCGGCATGAGGCAGCAGGAGCTAGCCAGGCCTCCCGTTGGGGGCGTAAATGCCACAGTTTACAGTGCTGACTCTTGTGTATACAGAAAAACTCTTATTCTTATAAACTTCTGTGATCATTTTTGAAGACAATCAGGGTGCAATTCCAATGATGTAAATACATCAACACAAGATATAATGTTGTCTGTTCTTCAATTTCCGATGGAAAAAAGCACTTATTACCTTCCTAACAGGAACAATGGTGTCCAATGTTTTTACCAAGCTTGTTGGGAAATTGCTACTGAACAAAGTTGTGACATTTCTATTTGGAATGTGACTGTTGTAATGCGCAATTTTGTTTTTGTATGCTGTCAATTATGAAACAAGTTGGGCTGTTGAATGTATTTCCTCAATTGACCCAGTGAGATACTCCCAGGCGCGGGCTACACACCAGTGCACAAACACATAATGTCACTCTGCTAATTCACCAATTTGAAACGCATGCAGGACACACTAAATCTATGTCTCTGCATTCTGCCAAAGGCTACACAATACTAACCTACGTTTTTTTATCTCTCCTGGTGGAACAATTAGTGGGTCAGGAAGAAATTCTGTACAACATAGAAAACAATCGTCCATGTGTGCATCCATATACTACCACAGCTTGAGTCCTGGATCTACAGCCTGCCAGTCTGTGGGAGCAGATCCTTCTCTCAATGTGGGCCTCCCCGAGGTTATTTTCCCACAGGGTTTTTGAGTAGTTCCTTGCCGATGCAGGTGGGTCTAAGTACGGTGGTGATGATTCAGGACATTTAAGGACATGTATTAACATTTATGGACATTGGTCATCCGCCTCTTATGAACCAATGGCCCGTGAAAGTTCTCAGAAATTGTTGCACTAAACAAAAATACATTTAATCAAATTCTTAATATGAGAATACATTTTAGAGATGACTCCTTTTAAACCACATGTCCCCATCACTATTAAAGTATGGGTTATGAGACGTATGAGGTAATAAACACATTTAGCCCGCCTTGGCTTCCTCCACACTTACTTACAGTCCCTTGTTTCAGCATTTCTTTGAGACACAGAAATTGCACTTCCACATTGTGTTTTATTGTTCCCTAATGGGCCATGATTGGGAGTCCAATTAAAATCTCTCTGCTGAGACTTCTCTCATGTGAATGGCCAATTAAATGTGTGTGATCCATGAGTATTAGTGGGCGCAGCTTGTTTGGGGATTAAATTAAAGAGTGGATGTCTATTTCCTATTGAGATTTTTGCTGAAGGCTGACAACAGTCATATACTACTCACTGACATCTCGTTGAATGCATTAGTTTGAAAGGATCAAAGAACGACATGTGCGTACTCAGCAAACAGGCCCAAAGGACTTATCCACAGTTTCAAGCTGAATATAAGTGAGAGTCAACATGATCCGGTCACAGCAGAAATACAAATTGTACCAGAAATCCACTTTGCATTAATTGGCTTTTTGTATTTTCATCTATTGTATTCCACCAATTCACTTTCCTGTCCAATTGAAACTTTTACCCGGCAGTGTGAATTTTCTTTAACTCCATGAATAGTGCGTTTGCCTAGAGATTTCAACATGAACTGCCAAAAAAAAAAATTACCAGGCCAGGAGTGTTTTCTGTTAACTTTTAGTTTGAAAACAAATTAAGAGTTTCACCAGGCATGTGCACCTGATGTTCCCAGAGGTCTCCCATTACAGTGTTTACGAGGCACTATCCTACCTAGCTAATGATGCATTGTTTTTTTACCACACAAGCAAGCCAACGGTCATGTAGTGTGGGCCCCTCTGAACACCACCAAACATTCAAACACACCAGGCACATTCTAGGCAATGTGTGTATTCACTTTACAGCTACAGCTGCCCCACTGTGGGACCTGGTGTTCCCAGAGGTCTACCATCACAGTGGTAACCAGGCCTTGCCCTGCTTAGCTTCAGAGGTCAGGCTGTCACATGCAGGTGGTGCAATTTTGCATCTGGGAGCATGCGAATCTCAGCACTAATGAGCACTCACTCTTGTTATCAGTTCATCGCACTTCAAAGTGGAGGCTACTTCTAAAAAACTTGTAGAAATAAAATAAAGTATGTTAACACTGCTGCAGCTCTGGAGGCTGCAAACTCTCACAGTAGACATGGCCTTTTCAGAAAAGATTAAATCAGTCAGAAAAGCTTCTATTTGCAGGTTAAAACTGGAGTTCAGTCCTTTTCTATTCAGGACAAGCTATACAGTACTATACAGTATACACCACTTATAAAGAGTCATTGAGTCTACCCGCAGTTTGGCTTTGCTGATGTTTTCTCTAATGTTGGTCTATTAAACGCCAGACATGCATCATTAGGACTAAGTCAAAGGGTTCGAATAAAAACTGAAACAATAAGCAAATTTAATGCTACACTGATCAGACTATATAACTTTTAAATAAAGCTCTTATCAGTGTTAAGTGACCTTCGCTTATGTTTTCTGGGAACACTGAAAACATAATATGCTCCATTAGTCAGGGTCAGCATGTGTTTGGCTCTGAGCAGGTTCTATCTTTGTGCAGCTAAACCAGAAATTCAGACTGGAGGACTTAGACATAGTTCTCAGTGCTCACTGTCTCACCTGCCATACTGAGCGGCACGGTGGCTGAGTGGATAGCACTCTCGCCTCTCAGCAAGAAGGTCCTGGGTTCGAATCCCGGTTGGACCAGGGCCTTTCTGAGTGGAGTTTGCATGTTCTCCCCGTGTCTGCGTAGGTTTCCTCCGGGTGCTCCGGTTTCCCCTACCACTAAAAATATGTACAATAGGTCTGGCATGTGCCTCCTGTACTGGCCCCACTCCCAAAAATAACAATTGTAAACCGCTTTGAGACTCCGATGTGCAGTGAAAAGGCGGTATATAAATAAAGATTACTTACTTACTACTACTACTACTACTGAGACCTCCCTCTGCTACACACCTGCGCCTGAGCTCTTCAAGGACTCGGTATCAGCGGCACAGCTTCTCAGTCCTTCCATCAAACTGCTGTTCATGCAGAAACCCACCTATGGCGCGTTCAGACCGAATCATGCGTTGCGTCTGGTTTCAATGCAAAGTCTATGGTGAAGCGCGTTGCAGCGTCACAACACTGCAACTTGGCGGGAAAGTCAAAGGGGAGGAGCAGGAGCGAAAAATCGACGCCCACAGGAGATGGATTCTGCTCATCCTTTCCTCGGGACGTTCATGCGAGAACCAATCAGAGAGCAGCAAAGTGGTCACGGGGACATTAGCGGACTGAGCGGGCAGACTGAAAATACTCGTAAACAGCCAAAACAGGACCCACACCAGGCTTCACCAGAACTCAAACCAATGGGGGACTCTGTGCTTCTGAAAATATGCGTTGTCATGCTCCCGTGACCTTATGCAACTGCTTCGAGTGTGTTCGCCGATGCGGAAGTACCGTTTAATAATATGAAAAAACGTATGACGCACCTCCGTGAACACATAGGGCGGCACGGTGGCTGAGTGGATAGCACTCTCGCCTCTCAGCAAGAAGGTCCTGGGTTCGAATCCCGGTTGGACCAGGGCCTTTCTGAGTGGAGTTTGCATGTTCTCCCCGTGTCTGCGTAGGTTTCCTCCGGGTGCTCCGGTTTCCCCTACCACTAAAAATATGTACAATAGGTCTGGCATGTGCCTCCTGTACTGGCACCCCCACTCCCAAAAATAACAATTGTAAACTGTGAAAAGGCGGTATATAAATAAAGATTACTACTACATACTATTGTTATATAAAGCCTGTGGAATGTTTGTGAGCAAAGACACGCTGAAAAGCTGCATATTGGAGAAGATCTGTACACAAGAAGCCGCTAGCATAGCTCTGTTAGCATCAGAGCTGGCCGGCTACTTCCGGTACTTCCTGCTCGTGTCAGGACATTCTGGTGTGAAGTCCTCTGCGTCTGAAAACTAGAGAATGCGCGTCTGGTGGGCGGGCGGGCGGTTTGAGCGTTTGCGGTCTGAATGCACCATTACTCTTCATCGGCGCCTCATCAGTGGAGGAGTCAGCATGTTACGGCTTCCACCGCCACCAGGATTTAGGCCCTGGGGAGTTATCATAATAATCTCTGTTAAATGCCCTCCTGCATACAGTCTGCCGGAGCAGCTCAGGGCCGCAGAGAACATTCATATTTTTAAAAGCAGGCTCAAGACGCACCTTTTTAGATTAACTTTTGATTAGTATTTATTATTCCATTTTATATATTTAATTTATCTTTTAGACACGTTTGATTTTAGCTTTATTATTTATTATTGTTATTGCTATCATTAATATGTATTGTGATAGTTTCCTTTGAGTCTCACATTTTAGTATTTTACTTTTTTATTGTATTGTATTTAGTATCCCCAGTGGTTGCTTCTGAACCCTGCCAAGTCTCTCTTCATGGTTTTGCTGTTTTACTGGTGTGTTTTTGTGAGCGTGCGTATAAGCGTGCATGAGAGCGTGTGTGAGTATGTGTGTGTGGGCGTATGCGAGAGCGTGTGTGCGTTTGTGTGTGTTCGTCTGTGCGTGTGTGAGTTCTTAATAATAAATGTGGTTTAGGGTGGGTCTGTTGGGTTGTCGGGGGGAGGGTTCATGGGTGGGATTGTTTTGAACTAAAATGTAAAGCACTGAGTGTTGCATCTTTTGTATGAAAAGCGTTTTATAAAT